CATTGAGATCTAGTAATAAAATGTACTGTTATACGATGCGACTATTTTTATGAAATACGAGAATTTTGTATTGATTCGAGAAATTTCAATGCAATTTCTCTGTGTTTTATTTTATAATTATGCACATTTTTCTCTAGAGCATATCGTAACGTAACAAATATCTTTATAAAATAAATATTTTAGTATCAAATGTTTTGTCTTTTAAAATAATAAAACTAAATTTTTAATGCATTTTTTGATCAAATAAACTTTATTACAATTCTCTAGAGCAGAAATTTTATAAAATAAAAAAAAGTTGAAAACGTAAAATTTATTCCAATTGAATATGTCGCATTTATTGTGATACATCGTGTCATCGGGATAATATGTGTACGTCATCGTTTGGCGCCCTCGCAAGTCCTGGTTCGACTATGTCCGATGTCGGTGGCGATACAAACTTTCGACATTAACCCGCGCCCAAGTTTGTCCTTTCACACGCCAACAATCATATTTTTGCCTGACCGCAAAATTATCTAATTGCCATGGCTATAAAATATTGGCCTAGTTGCCGGGTAACTTCGGGACTCAGTCAAATTAAATGCTGGCACGATCCAACTGTTCCCTAACTTCCCTTTCGCTTCTCTTCTTTTTCTTTCTTTTATAATATTATAATCAAAGAATTTATATGTTATATATACATGTGTATGTTACATATACATATATACCCACATATATATATTGTATGTATATATACATATATATCTCATACTCGCTCTTCTTGTTAAGATTGTACGCTTTTAATGTCTAAATACAACTGAAATTCAAGCGTTTCTCCTCGTGGCGTATCCATATTCCTATCCGTATTTACGCGCAACGCAAACAAATTATTTCAATCCCGTTTGTTTATTTGCGTGACGGCTGCCTTGTCGATATTTGTTGAAGTATAACTCAAATTCCGATACAGTCGCTGTAACGTCTTCTCCTTTCGTTGAGGTATGCAGATCAGCTTCAGCTTCGGTGGTTATGGTGCACCGCGTTTCGGATTTGCAGATGAGAGTTGGCGCAACCGTCCGAAACGTTGTTGGAAAGATACCGAAGTGAAGAGCAGAAAAGTCCGGGGTCATATAAACTCCACCGCGCGCGTGTAATTCAGCCGAGTAAAACGCTAGCCAATAAACTTGCACTCGGGACTTCTCCTGTTTTCTTTGAATGCATTTCGTGGCGCGCCTGCGTTATAGTCAGGGCTCCCTGCTTCTCGATATTTTCTACGGCGCGTTGTTTTTCTTTTATCGTCCCGCTCAAACTTATTTACCCGTCTAAGCTTTTGATATCGTATTTTATCGCAGGTGGGCGAATTCACGCTCCATATTCTGATATTGCGGTAAATAATATCAATACGCGTCGCCTGGTATGCGTCGTAAAACGTAATGCACGAAAAAGAGGCTAGGCAGGATCTTTTAACTAAACTTTATTTTATCTCTCGTTACTAAAAAAATTTCCTTCTTAATAGATTTGTTAGAGAATTGATATGCGAAGAAAAACGCAGTTTATGATAAAAAAAGGCAAAATTCTCGTTAAGAGATACATATATTGATTTTAAAAATATTTAAATAAAAATGTAAACGGCATATTTATCCCAATCCATTATTTAAGAACGGAAAATATTTAGTTTTTTCTTTGAATAAAATTGAGGAATACCAATAAATTGTAAAGGTCATCATATAGTTCAGTTAAATTTATGTTGTTTTATAAAAAAATTACATCAAATAGAAGTATTCTGTCAATTCTTAATATACGATTAAAATATAAAAAAAAGTATAAAAGTATTTTTTTAATTGTTAACACATTTTAAAATATGTAATTTCATATTTATTCAACGTCTATTTAAGGTTTCTATTATAAATTTCTATTAAAATTAGTTATGTGTTACAAGAGTTATGGCATTTTGCATGTTGCTAACTTTCGTAAAGCAATTGAAAGAAGTTACTGCTGCTACGGAGCAGAAACGTGATATTATGCGAAATGGTGACTTTGAAGTGTGCAATGTCGCACATGAAACTCTTAGTTGTATACGATTGGCCATCGACACAATGCAAGAATTTGCTTGAAGCGTGCCAAGTCGTCCACTCAAGTTTGAGAGTTTCGTTAGAAGATCGCCAATAAGATTTTGTATACTTTAATGTGAATAACGTGCTTAAAAGTAGTATTCAATAAAATAAGCTACTGTTCATTTTTAATCGGCTAATTTAAAAACCGCAAATTTTTTGTGATTAAAAATATTTTTAAGTATCTGCATAATTTTGAACACGTAAATATGTAAGTGAAAGAGTATTATCCTAAAATAGATAATAGCTTTAATATTTTATTCTTTGAATAAAATATGTATCGAAAGCTTCTTAAATATTTTATGACACAGCGAAAATGAGATTAGAGGAAAATTTAATATAATTAGAGAATATCCAAATTTTCAATAATTATCTGGTAATTAAATTTATAATCCACTCGATATTGAATATTATTTTAAATAATTTAATACTTAATATATATACGTATATAATATAATTAAGTAGATAGTATCAAATATATTTTTGATATTTTGATATTTATTTAGCCTTTACATAATTTTCTTAAAAATGTACGGAAATATTTTATAAAATACAAGCACATTTTCTATATAACGTACAGTTTTATTGCTTCAAAGAGTCGGAAGTAGAATTTAAATTATCCGTAACAAGATAACAGACATTCTATGGTATTCCATAGTAACTTAATTAGAAGAAGCAAAATGCCCTTTTTTAAATTTTAATATTGTAGAAGATCTTGAAAGTTGAAATGAAAATGAATTTTTAAATTGTGTCGGTGTGGTTACTTATAGAAAATGAGACGCTACGAACAGGATGTTGAAACTAAACGCGCGATGCAGGGCTTTACTGCGAAACCCTAGATATGGATTCAGTTAGAAGTAAAAGTAAATTACTTTTACTTGTAATAAGTAAAGGTGGAAGTAAAAGTTGTAAATCAATGCAATCCACGTGGTCGGGTTTTTAATCGCAAAAACGTATATCCGCGCTTGAGAACTGTCACGGGAGCTGAATGTTTACGGCGCAAAAGAAGGCGAGCAAGGTAAACTTCTCTACGAAACTATTATTTTCTCTTATGAGAAATTTAAGGTACGTTCGTCGGGGAATATTAACCACGTAAAGGTGGCCGGCAAGAAAGTACTTTCTGCGAATTTGGCCTATGCAAATACGGGTGAACAATCCGGGTAGGTCGAGTTTGCAAGCCCTCGCCTAGTGAAAAAGTTTGGACGCCCCGCGACGAATACTAATTAAAGACTTGCGGAATGAAATTAGTTAGCCGAGGGGTCGGGCGGGGGTGACTCTCGAGGATGGACGACGGAGTCCTCGACTCGGCGACGAAGAGCCGCTTATGATAATATAATAATACTTACTTGGGGCCTCGGAGTGCTACCTCCAAGCTCATTATGCGTTTAGTTCATAACTTCAATTGGATTCTTACTATCCCTACCGAGCCGGGGCTTTCATCCAACCGTTGTCTCAAACCATCCTAATTATACAAGTAATTACTATCGCGAAAGAGAACGTTTCAACTCATTCATGGCCGCGATGATGCTGCATAAGCAAAGATAGTTTATCTCTTTTGCAATTCAAATATTTTGTTCGAGATATTTGATTAAAATTTATTGTACTTATTATAATTTTGTTACGGTATAGAAATACGGTACATCATAAATTTCAGAATTCAAACGTTTCCTATCATCATATACCTAGCATATATGCATGTACCTATATTCAACGCGTCAACGCGTTTCTGATATATAATTTGCTGCTATAATTTCCTTTCGCTCGAATCGTATTCGGTCATTTCAATTCGGTGCATTTTGAAATACGATTTACGACTTATCGCCTAGTAAACGCATTTCGGAAGAGAGAAAAGAGAGAAAAGAAAATATTTGTTGACCCCCATTGCTACGGGAAATTTTCACAGGGTCCATACTGTCGCTCGCCAAGGCTTTGAAATCAATCTCAGTACTCTGGGAACATGATAGTACGACGCGAGTAGAACTTCTTCCTTCCTCCGCCTCGGTCCATTGAAAAAAGGCTCTTGAGTCCATCTCAAGGTATCGATTAACAAACACTCGAACAGCTAGTGCTGCCTTTGTAGAGCCCGCTTTGCAGAGTAACCGCTCGTGGTAAAGCCGTTTCGAGCTTTCCTGAATGGCACAGTGAAAGCTTTCTGTGCGAACGACTCACCGAGTGTTGCACAAGAGGCGGACCTTTCGAACTCCACAGAATAACGCGACCGTGCGCATCCATTTGTGCGCGGTAGAATTTCGCCGACCTAATCGAATTCCGGTTGCGTCGGCGAAATTTCCGCATTCGCGACCGACGAGCGCGATATTTAATTTAGCAGCGCCGATTTGGTATTCATGACGAGGCATGCTGCGGACGTAAATATAACGCTTTGACGGAGCACTTGGAAATATGTATCGACCCTTTGATTTTCTTTTCCAAAATTGAACCGATATTCTGTTCGCCGGGCTGACTTTGACTCGTCAAAATTTCTTTCAGCTTTTGCCATCCAAGACTTGTACTTAACGTGCTTTCTTTTTCTAAGATAAGCATATGAAATTCTCATAAAATCGTAATCGCATTTCTCATTTTTACGTTCCGATTGGCAATATAGGTATAATCCGCTTTTATACTTAATACATACGAACTCTGTATGTATTAAACTCTGTATATCTATATATTTTGACGGAATTTTAGGAAATAATGCGATAAAATAAAAAAAACTTGACGAAAAACTTTCTCTGTTTAGATAAGAGATATCACGTAATATATAATATATTGAATTATACCTGCATTCGTTTTTACAGCGACAATTAAATACTTTCACCTGCTACGCCAAGAAAACCATCTATCACGATAGTAATCATGCTCTATGCTACACTCTTGTATGCAACAAGACTCTTGGTCGTAATATTTGAAATTACTTACCTTCGGATTTAGGTGCGGGAGGTTTGCGGGTGGCCCAATTTGTTCTGATACTTCTGCCACCGAGCCATTGGCCGTTCATGTTGCCGATCGCACTCTCTGCTTCCTGAGAAAAGACAACGGGGAAAATCAATATTTCCCATCGCAAATTCTAAGAGCGAATTCATACATTAAAAGCAGAAAGAAAGTAATTTTGTTAATTGTTAAACGAATACGGAAAGAAAATGATGTTGTATTAACAACGTTAGCAGTCGACAGTAGTCTAATTAAAACTAATCTTATTCATTCAGTATTAATGAAACAAATAAAATTTTATTAAAACTATAGAATATTTGTTTCATTATAATACAGTCATTGAATTAATAAGACTATTTCCAATTAGATGCCGGACTAATGCTGTTAATAAAAAATATCTTTTTTGAAAAATATCTTGTAGAAGGTTGCATTTTAATTTCGAAATTGTTTTTGCTGAATTTTGCAAATATTTCATATTTGGTTTGTTGATATTTCTAACATCATGTAACATTATATATTTAAAAAATATTCCATTCTCTCATTTTTCTGCAACATTATTTTTTGCTTGTGTAATGGAATATTTTTTTACAATAATTTCGGTAGTGAATTGAATTTTATTCGATCTTTATGTTATTGCATCGTTCATTAATTCATTTTTTTATGATCAAAGGAATCGTTGATTTCACAAAGAGCATTTAAATGGAAATACAACACATTTTTGCATATACAGCAAAACGGTCATTTTATTTTATAATGCACTTTATCGAATGCGTATGAACGGATACGATTACAGTTAAATTTGCAAAATTCTTACATTACAATGCTATATTCCTGAAACACGCGTTAAAACATACAAATAAATCTATGATGTAAAACGCGAAAATATGAAAAAAGATAAGCGAAATTTGTTGTAAAATTGGTCGTGTAATTAACGCGAATTAAAAAAAATTATAAATAATAATTTTGAAATTATAGAAAAGACGGGACTGTGTGTATTTACGTATTACAGAATGCTTCTAAGGGATTTTACCGGGAGGAGAATGAAAATACGCGTCGTCGCGCAGTACCTCCGCGAAAGCTCCTTTATTGTCTCTCGCAACGTCTATAACAACAATTGCGGGGCGTCGTAAGAACCGCGACGGCATCCGCGCGAGATGCGGTGGGAGGATGCCGCCGCATTCACACGCAAAACCGCGGATAAAACCAACAGGTATGTTGACGTCAATATTATCCGCGACTTATTGTTGATTCAGCCGCGGTATCCCGCCGGCATGGCCCTCGATCCAGGTCAACTTAATATACGTTTTGAAATTTTATTCGATCGACTGCACTCTTGATTCCCCGGATTTTCGTGAACCGCTTCGGGCGATCCGGGACATTTTCCATTGCGACATTGGATTCTTGGAGGAAGGCTCGGGAACACCTTTGGCAAAGAGAAGAAAGCACCGCGTTGACGTATTTCTGCGCAACGCGAGCTATTTGCACGATCTACGAACATTCGAAACGAAACGGTTTTCACGATATTCAATCCGTTCCCTCTTACGCGTTCATTACACGATTCATAAAAAAAAAAAAAAACCAAAAATCTTTATTGACCACGAGATTCGTGGAAAAGGTGAAGAAATCGCATCACTGCGATATTCGCTACGTGTAGCGCTCGCGCATAAGAAATAGATACGGTATGGCACACGTCATCGCTTGCATCGTGTACACGCGCGGAGATGTGTACGCTCGCGCGACATCGTGACGGTAGTATTCGGACGGTAGATTCGCAGGATATCTGGAGAGGATGGAGACCTAAAAATATTCTCGGCGCGAGGAATTCCCCGAAAAAGTTTACTGTTCGAAAAGCTCTTTCGGCATGAGCGGCGAAGGGAAGATACTTCGCTCTTTCTCTTTCTCTCTCTAGCTTCCTACAGTTTTTCCCTCTTTCCAGCTTCCACGGCAGCAGTCCACCCTTCGCCGCTCTCTACTCTCAGCCATTTGCGCCATTCGGGGCGTCCTCGGCTTTGCCTTTGCCTCATCTCCAGTCGTTACTTTCCTTCCTCCACGGCGCGGGTTACGCTTCAGCCAGTGGCTTTCCGCGCTTTTCTGCACGCTCCTCATTCCTCGTCGCACACCCCTCTCCCCCCCCCCCCCCGCTGGATAAAGTATTTCCGATTCGAATCTCCATTCCCGATATGATGCCGCACATTCGCGCGGTTAGCCTAGATAGAGCTCAGGCGACCGAATGCCCCGTTCTAAGCCGATTCTAAACTTCGGTCGATATCCCGACGCCTCTTCGACCCGCAGCCCCTGAAAACCACCGCCGCTTGCCTCCTTCCGTCCGGCGTGACCAGGGCGTTTACGTGGTACCAGAAGTACCACCACCAGAAGCCAGCCACCTCCCGTCTCTCTGGCTTTCTCTCTCTCTCTCTCTCTCTCTCTCCCTCCCTCCCCCCGTTCCACCGGCCGGCAGTTTGAGCTGTCCAAGCACCCATCAAATCGAATTTCTTCCGCGGTCGACGATGCTATAGACAGACGGGAGCGCCGCTTACCGACACCCAACTGTTTTACACGCATTATTAAGTCATGCCCTAGCACGGAGTAACGCGCCGTCGGATTACGTGGCCTTAACGAAACTTCCTTCTGCACCAAACAAACTGTACAAAGCCCGAATGTAATCGACTTTGCCTCTTTAGGCTTGTCTCTTTTAAAATTTTACATTATTTACATTAAATGTTTGTTGTTTTGCAAATTTTCTCATTCAAGTTATAACATATGTTTATAGTAGAATGTAGCGTTCTTAACTGATAATTAAAGAAAAAAAAAAAAAAAACAATGCTAAAATGTTTTACATATCTTGTTAGTGATTATAATATCGTATTTAATAAAAAATTATTGCATTAAATATAAAATAGTTTGCTAATTTTTGTTAAAACTTTAATACAGTACAAATAATACCGTACAAATAATAAAATACAGTACAAATAATATAAGTTTGTATAAAACCACATACACGTAATGATTGAGCTTTTATATTTGTTAGAATAACAGAGCAAAAATTTCAAGCAATATTTCTTTGAAACGTTTCGGATTATTTATTTAATTTGTTCGCACAGTTCAGGAAACTTAAGTAACGTTTCAGTTTTTAATAAAAACTGTATGACTTCATGACTAAATAAAAATATGACTTGTTGTTTTAAAAATTCTGCGACTCGCTACATACGGTATTCCTATTGCGTCAGAAAATAAAGACTATTTATTTACATGGCTGTGCGTATATTCAATGCCACGTGTCAACGTGGCCGTTATGCATCCGATATTTTGACTGCAGCCGTAAATAAAATAACGTTAACACATACGAAGGTAACGTTTTCCAATGTGCCGTAAATGACATTCTAATTGCTTTATCCTATCTGAAAGAATACAAATCTATACGAATGGACGCACGCTTTTGTGTATTTAAGGTCGCGAGTCATAATGTCGCACGATTTATCGATCAAATGGTAGAGCAACAAAAGTTGACAGTAACTAGAGCGACCCGAGCACTTACGTAGCGTGTGTGTGTGTGTGTAAGTATACACACTGGCCATCAACTGGTAACAGGGACAGAGCCTGGACTACATGACGGATCCATCTAAGCATTGAATAGACATCGACATTGTACTATATTCGCTCTCGAAAACCGTTTTACTAGCACATATTTCTCCTCGAAATTACAAATCTCGATTTATTACTATTTCGCTGAAAGATGAACTATTCAGATCATAAATCAATTTGTAGCATGAAGAAAATAAATATTTGCGTATACTAAGATTTCAGGAAATAGCGTTTCGTGTCAAGAAAGCTCTGTTGCCAGTAGTAAAACATCGTCGCACCCGCGTGTATGTAGATATTTATATACGCGAAATATATAGAAGCGCGCGGCGGCACATTATGAAGCTCGGTATTCATTAAATGCAGTACTCGAGACTTCGAATCCGTCTCCGGAAGAAAAACGGGAATCCCGGGAATTCGTATTTCGTCGTACATCTTAAAAGAGCCAGGATGTTAGATGCTGCGCGATCAGAGCTCGCGATTTAGGTACGTGTATCCGGCGGTCGAAGGATATAGTGTCGGTGGGACCGGTCGGTGGATGTGGGGGTAGCGGCGGGGGGAGGGAAGGGTAGAAATTTTCGCGTGTTCCTCGAGGTTAACGGAGACACTCGGGAAATTTATACTTCGGCAATAGTAATACCGCGGGTGTGAGGCAGGTGCCGGCGGTGGTCCAGATCGATAGGACATTAAAACAGAGGGGAAACGGAGAGAGGGTCTACCTTCGGGGCAGGCGCCTCGACGAATAACCCCGCCATAAACGGAGGAAAGCCTTCTTTTACTCAGCCGTACATCTAACTTCGCCGTGATTTACGCCGCGGATTTTGGCGGGTCACACTAAAACTCCCGGCCACTCTCCATTTAGCCCCCGAAAAATGATGTTGTAAACCGTGACGGTCGGACCCACCCCCTTATTTGATCAGCGAAAGCCGGGAGGACGACGTCAAGTTTGACATACTGCGGACTGTGACGGATGTGATTCCGCAGTTGCTACCGTTGAGGAATACTCGCTCGCGTTCCCTCCGACTTCGGAGACAAAATCGGGAGTTAGATGCGATAATTAAAATGCTGCTCGGAAGGGAATTATCTACCTTGCCGTTATGCTACCGTAATTCTGATTTACATAAAGCGCATCGCGCTCTCTTATCTCCTTCGCCTCACACAAGCGCCCGTTTAATTTGTTATATATAATTTTTTACTACAATCCCTTAGGAATGGAATTACGAACATTGTTGTTTTAATCGACGCACTTTGCATGCTGCAACCTTCTTTAAAATAATTGTCTTTTGGACTTTCTCGAGAGTGGCCGCATTTTGGCAAAAGAGAACGTTACAAGAAAGCCTGATGTATAAAGTTTTCTAAAGGACTGCAAGATCCTGAAGTTAATTTGGAATAAGTACATTTTTGGTAGTTAAGATATATCGATTGATACATACTCGGACTTATCTTATTAAACTTTTTGAATAGAAAGAAATTTCTACTACTAAAAAGAAATATTTTTCATGCTGCTGGAAACAGAATATGAATGAATAACAAAGTAGTAAAATTTTAAGAACTATGTCTCTAATTAACCGAAAAACCGTTTTGTATTTCTTAAAAATAAAAACTAAACTAATACGTTTATATATCAGGTAATCTACAGTGCGGAATTAAAAGTAACAACGTCTTGTGCAAAGTTTGAATATCGTAGCTAAGGCTCATGTAACAGGATCAGTTTATTATCTCAGCTACGACATAACGCTAAATTTTCTCTAAATTTTAAATAAAGAAATCGTATTAATCGGAGTATTGCTTGCTTACCGCTTTTTTGACGAACGAAACAAATCCATATCCTTTGGATTTTAAAGTTTGGGGATCTCTGACGACTCTGCAATCTCTGTAACATAAATATTATATTCGGTAAGACAAGCTACGTAAAGCGTCAAGCTAAGATATGTAGATATAAATGGAAGTGTAAGAATAAGATTCAATTACCAAGAATCTTAAGATATATAAAATTTTGTGGTTAAATTCAGCACTCGTTTCTTATTACAACAAGAATCATATTCGCTTTAATTGAAAGCTCTGTCATTTTAATTCATCTGATTTTTTTTACATCTGTGATATCACGATTTAAATAACTCAAATAAATTTATTAAACTTTAGATAATAACTTTATATATCTTAATTACGTTATCTCTTCGCTAACGAAGATCGAAATAATGCACATATGAATATAATATTTACTATTTTCAATAGAATTCATTCTCCACGACGCCCTATGTCTATATCTTCATTATCGCAATATTACAGTGCCCGTAAGAGACCTCAATTTGTTTCATGCGCAATTGAATTTTGAAACGCTCATATCCTCTGGAAAAGTACTGGCGACATTGTCGGGCGAATTGGGACCGAGTCGCCGGACCATCCTCGACGAATTCTTCCTCATAATTAAGATTCCAGTAGCGCCCGGCGGACAAAATTAGGAATACTGGAACGCGCGACGTGGCCCTGGAGGCTTGCAGTCGTTTCGGCGAGGAGCTTAAGGCGAGGAAATATCCTTTCGGACCGATAGAGCGGGATGGCATGCACCGCGAATAAAATTCCGCATCGCATATATACCGTTCCCTCCCTTTCACTTCCGTTATCCGGCGGCTATCTAGACTTTTTTCGACCGCAATTGGAAATTTTCAAAAGACTACGTCGCGCGGCGTACCCATTATCAACTATGCACGGTGATTGATGTAGACGGAACGGTGGAACTTTGATATATGACACTTTCCGCGTACTACGGAATTAATTGCCCGTAGAAAAAAATTGCCGGCGTGAAGATGACAGTACTGATCCTCTTTCCTTTATCTTCTCGTTTGTGATGGATTAAGTGCAGAAGAGCAGCAAGTAATTAGGAAATGGATCGTTGAACGACACGTGTATACGGCGTTTATGCGAGGTGCATTTTACACAGATAGCAAAGCATGACATGCTTCCGATTAACAAATTAAAAAGTCGATGACTTATCGTTGGACAAAACTTAGTAATATCGTATTCAAATGCTTCTATCCTACTTTAATACGCCAGTTAGTTACCTCTACCAGTTTGCCTGTCAAACCGAAAGCATGCTCGGCTTTACGAAGACAAGCCATTAAATGCATAATGCGTAGAACCACAATTTAATGTGTTATGTTTGAAAAGTCTTGCAAAAACGACGTTCGCTGTGATACACGCGGATGGAAAGCGAAGAATAGGCGGTGAAAAAAAAAACCAAAAGGACGACCTCGTTTGGGAAGAGGAGGCTTCAAAGAAGGTTTGTCAAAAGGAAAGAACGTAAAAGGGAATAAAAGAGAAGGCAGGCGGAATTACGCGCGTTTCAGGCTGTAGCCGGTCGGTACTTCCACTCTGTGCATCAATTTGAATGCACACCTGCCGCGGTTTCGCCCGTAATTAAAACGATTAATCGATCAAAGGACGTATCTGGGCGGAAGCGGGAAGAGTGAGAAAAAATTTGTACCATGTGTACACCCACCCTAATGAGTGACGATAGGGAATAAATTAATCCGTAATGACTAATGCGAAATATTACGAGTAAGCGTCAGCGGTAATTAAACAATTTCAAACACGGCGACGTTCCCGTTGCCGCAGGAAGGAATAATATCACGAAACGCGAATTAAAGATTGAAGGTGAATTTCGAACGACGGAAACGCGTCAGCCCAGTCGATTAATCTTTATTGGAAATAAATTGTAAGTCGGTGTAGCGACGCGCGATTTCAAGAGTAATCTTTTAGCGATGTCGTGCTCCAAGTAACAAATATGGGCGTATAATTTTAATTGACGGTGCTTCCCCTCGTGGTGATACGCGCGCGACATCAAAGGCCTTTCAGAACCGCGATATACTGTTTCCGATTGCTTTTGCACCGAATGGTCGACGAACGTCGTAGTTTACGAGCTCGGAATGTTGAGTGGTCAATATAAGTTAGATGTAGAACACACCGCTAGTCGCCCGCATACGCTGTTACCCACACTTCACATCGCTCACGCCGTGTATGTGTATGTATATATATATATAATATATATATGTGTACATATATATACACACACATACAATATATATATACACACATCTCGCGCTCTGGTTCTATCGATATAGATTTGAGCTGTTGTGTGTTTCCGTATAGCGCGCCCGCTCTCTCTCTCTTCCCCTTTGCCGTTCCTCTTCATGCCCATTTCTCTGGCTGGGCCGCCACGTAGAGCGAAACAATTGGCGCGACGGCGTGCGCCCCGTAGATTTACGTTTCTCACCGCAAAAAATCATAAATTAATGCACGGTTATTGACGCGATAAATCTCAGAATTTAATTCAGGTTCCGTCGAGTCTTGTCGCACGACACGCCGTCCCTCTCGTCCGTTTTGGCTGGTGATATAGCCGCGACAATGCCAGAGGCTCGCGTCCTGGCGGGCAAAGCCTCGATAGGATAAAGAGTAAGTCTGGATTTATTGCCATCGAGCCAGTCGAACACGATGGACGTGTGGATAGAAAAGGTTTTGCGTGGGCGGGGATTGGAGAGCAGGGGGGCAATGATTCAAATTGTACGCTGGACATGTATCCGATGTGACGAATCCCGCATAAGTTATCTCTCACTCTATCAATTTCGAAATTGCGTTCCTATGTAATATTGTACCGTTCATTCCTTCGCATCAATAGTAGTTAGCGGAACATCATGAATAAATGAGTAAATTGATTGGGAGGTATAATTTATATTCTTATAGTGACATATTATATTATATGTATGTATATGTAGCAGAAAACGCGAGAAAGGGAAATGGCGATATTGTGTTACGAAATTTCTATAGCTGTAGGGAAATTTGCATCCAAGGATACACCGTAAGTTCAGATTTATTGCCGTCGACTAGGTCGGGCGTGATAGACGCGAGAATGGAAGGATGGGGTGTGTCGATGTTTCAAATTGCGCGCTAGGGACGTAATCCGCAGAAAGATTGCAGGCTTGTTGTTCGTTCTATCAATTTCGAAATCTTGATTCTGCGTTGTTTATATAGGTGATATTTGTTACGATTACAATGACGGATATGCGCTTACTTTCCTAAATCATTGAATTCCCAGAGCATCCCGATCAATCATTTTAATAGGATTATACTTATACTATTTAAAAGCGGTGTTGCTCAATCTGTAATGCATTGACAATTCATAAAAGTCGTTACAGTCATGACATTCATCTAATAATAATAAGAACTTTCTAAATATTATCGCACTGATTACGATTCCGTTCCATTTCTGCAAAGTAATTTTCTTAATGTGATTCAACTCTTTTTAAACAAGTCACGAAGTGGTTCAATCGTTTAACAACTTTTTTAGATTTTGTTCTCTTTAATCTTGAGACAAGTATAGTGGAGCTTGTAAAATTCTCAGTGGTAATTCCCTTTATCTCGCAAAGTAAATTCCCGGGATTGATAAAAGCTACTGGCCGCGGCAGTCCAATTTTGATAATTAACATGCGATTCACTCGTACAGTATTTACTTAACAATTGCTGGTTTGCGATGCCTGCTGGACGTATTCTGTTCGTAAACACCGTACTTTTGCCAGAATGCTCGATGCATTTCAACAAGTCTAAACTGGTCTCCTTGCCTTTCGCATTTTGTTCGTACCTTTTTTCTCTCTTGCCTATCTGCCTTTTCATCTATTTTCTTTCTTGTCTAATGCGCCATTTCCCTTCTGCTATTCCCTTTCCATACATACTATTCTATTATTTTGGAAACATTCAAATGTACTTGATAATATCATAATTGAATCTTACCCCGCAAAAAGTTTTTCCCAGTTTACTTAGCATGAAAATCAGACATTGATGAAACTTTTCATTCGCGAGATTTGCCTTTTCCTGCATTCGAGAGAGAATCGCAACTTATTTTTAGATAATTATAAAATCACAAATTCAAATTCAATCTTTAATAAATATGTTAAGATTTTTTTGTGTGTTATATTTAAATTAAATTAAATTTCTATGTATATAACATTTTTAAGTTCTGTGCAAAATAAAATTGTGCATATACACGAATTGACATATAAGTTTATAATTGACAATTCTATATATATTAGTATAGCAAGTCTTAACAAAATCTATAAATATTTTAAATATTATTTTATCAATACTACACATCTCGTGTTTCATTTTTTCACAGGAACATAATGTTACTGAGCTACTATCTTCTGCAGCTTTAAAAAGATTTCTTACACATTTACAACCTTCTATATTTCAAACATGCATGTCGAAAAGAATAGGCAATCTTTACTTCCATCAATCGAAGGCTACGTTTCTATCAATGATCGTTCAAGCGTTCCACCCCGTTTCTTATTTCGTATAAGATATTTTCGATAAGGCGGGGGAGAGCAGGGAGAGGAGGATCGTGAATTGACGAAATCGTGTCACGACCTCATCAGTTTCATATCCTTAAGCCGCGAAACTTTCGCGTATTAACCTCCATTCCTTGATGCCGCTTTTTCATCTTTCATACTATGCCGGTTCCTTTGACTACGTGCTGCGCAGGCAGTCTTTCCATTAGCCGCCGGAAAAATTCAAACTCATTAATTAGGCGCTAGGAATGGCGCGTCAGCATGAAAATCTTTGTACCGTAGGATCTGGGTCCTTATCGCCCGGGCAACGAAGATTGAAGAACACCATTTTCGAGCGGGCGCGCGGAGGGAGAGGGATCGTGGGGGTATGAGCGTCCGCGGGAACAGATTCATCAATCTACCTACAAATAATCGCTGCAGAGTGCTATCGTTCATCAGCATTTGATCGCTATTCTCGGACGCCGTTTATCGATTTCTGTATCAAGGGAATAACAACTTATCTGTTTACAAGGGATAGAAATACCGAGTAGAGTAG